GCTAATTATGAACACATAGCTAAAATATTACATTACATTGCAATCATTTTTGGAAACTTATATCTATCTTATACAAAGAATACCACCCCACTATGCCAACTGACCATACAAAAGTGAAAATATTAGAACTTCTCCTATTAGACAGACACATATACACAATTACAAATAAACATTACCATCCGATGCTTGCTTAGCTATATTATAATTTTTACAAACTTACATATATAGAATTATCTACAGTTTTAATGCATGTGATACAGTACTGACCAGTGAGAATCACTCCAAGAAAAAAATAAAAATACCAAAGTTTTGTCCTTTTGCCTGTTTTTTCTCTCAATCTCTGATTCTACCACTTCATCCCCAGCCCCTCAACCTCCGGTGTCTTCCTCTTTGGCTTGAGGTGTCCACTCGGTCTGAACTGAACTTAGGGATAACTGGCCGTATGCTCCCTGAGCACCCGTAGATTATTTTGACCAGTCAACTAGTCAAGTCCTGCTCGCTGCCCACGCTGTGTTAGTTTTTAGATCCAGTAAGCGGAGTGTTGTCCAGTCGACTGGGGATGTGGACATGGCTGTGAGAGTTGGTGCTAGGAAGTTTAGAATGTGGCAAAATAAAACAAGAAATAATATCTGCAGAAGCCAGACAACAATGGGGGAAATGACGTCTTTTATATAAGAAGATAACATCAGAACAGAGGTTACAGGGAGAATAAAAACATTTAACATAAATGAGAAAAGAAGAAGAAAAAGACAAAATGCATCCAGCAAATTCCCAACAGAGAGAGGGTTTGTGTATGATAAATGCATATTCAATCACCTGGTATAGGTTTATGACTAATAGTCCAGTCTTATACAGACTTCTCAGAACAGGGGGCAGTCTTCTTTCTCTCCTCCAAAATTCTCCCACAAATCTCTTGACTCACTGCAATGATAGTCTCGTGACTCTCTTGATTACACTCTCTTTCCCTGACTCTGCTTTATTAGCAAATTCTCGAGTTAATATATAAAAAGGATCAGCTGATCACAATTGACCCTTGGCCCGGCACGCAGCTACCACAAGTGCCAAAAACTATCCCTTGACATGTAAACCGATTCTCCAATTATTTACCTTATCTCAATCACGAGTTCTTCTCACTTCACCAAAATTATACTTTGGGATATCTAAACATTGTTTCAACCTTTTAATCAAAACAAATACTGCTAAACAAAACCAAGTATCTCGCCCATCCCCATTGTTTACTAGTGACCCAGGTTTAAAACATCGCCTCCTGCCCAGAGATCATGTTGCTCCTTGGTAAACACACATCTTAACCTAAATTGTACTTTGATATATAAACACCATTTCCATTTCCAATCAATAAAAGTTATATTTGTGTGCATTCATGTGGGTGTGTGTGTATACCTCTCTCTGTTACATGATAAAGTTTTAGTAAAAGTGAAACATGTTAGATTGATAAATGGGAACATTGTTTGTTCTTTATCTTATTATATATATATATATATATATATAATATATATATATATATATATATATATATTTAGACATTAATATGTTAATGTGTATTTGGTCTTGTAGAATCTATAGCTCAAATATTGCCGTATTTACTATTAATATCCATTTTCCAGATTTTTCAAATTAAGACTCATTAAAAATTAAGACCTTCCGTAACCAATGCCTTTTCAAGTTTCATCAATGGATTAGTTCAAACTACTTTTTGCTTTTTACATTATAACAATAGAAATTACTTAAAATAAAAAAAATAACAGATAAAATAGATTTCACTATGGTCACAATCAATTCTTTTAAAATGACAAAATTGCTAGAATTTGAATGTTGAATTATTTAGATTTCAAGTATCAGCAAAAATCAGCCATCATGTATTTTATGCTCATATTGCAACCCTAACTCTTTGTAGTCTCTTGGCAATCTTTTTTAGTTTAGTTTTCTGCTCCATAATTGATTAAATTTAATTTTACTATAAAGTCCATGAATGAGAACTCTGTTTTTCAATGGAAATTTAAATTGATTCAAAAATTTTTGTCTTAAAATGTAATGTTCTTATTTGTGGACTGTTGAAAATTAATATTGGTTTAAGTTAGGAATGAATATCTCGAATGAAATCTATGAAATTAAATTAGAAACAAGGATGAGTAATATATATATTCAATATATATATATATAATATAAGTTATATAATTAAATTGTCTATTAAATCACAATGACAAAATTACTCTTTTAAATCATAGCCAATTTAAAATAAAAAGACCAAATTTAATTAACTGACTGATTAAACCATCTGATTAATTTTTCAAACGATTTTGCTTTTATATATTTTAGTTGTCCTTCTTGAATATTCTACAGAAAACAGGAACACTCGAGAAAATCCTAAAATTCTATGATATTTTTAGTTTAATTTACTAATATTAAAATGGGTTAAAAATGACAAAATTAAAACCATTTTTGGGTGTTACATATAAAAGTGTAAATAATACAGCAATTATATAACAATAGGTACAAATATCTAGATAAAAACGTAGTTGCATGTGTAACTGCAAAAAGACTTAGCAAGTATTGATAAAAACCTTTTTATGAATATAATGAAAGAGGAAGGGTGTTGAGCAAAATCAGGACCTAATAGAGCAGAAATGAGTAAAAAAAAAGTAACTGTCAAATCTAATTCAATAGACATAAAAATTGAAATTTGTTTCCCAGTGATTGATTTCACTTGAAATCATGTTGTTTCTCAGTCTTTTTGTAATAAGCATCAGTAACATAACACTCACTTTGCTAATTCATCACTAATTTAAATCACCAGTGATTTAAATCACAAGAGAAAAATGGAAAATTTCAATTAATGCATGAATATAACTGTTTCAGTGATAGCTGAATATTTGTTAAAAACCCAACAATGTTCTCAGTCTTTTTAATATAAATAGCTTATAAATTTTAATGTCTCCAAAAGGAAATTGAAGAAAAATTTAACCACCATAGAGAAAATTTCCTGCCTGCCATCAGCATGGCTGATGCTAAACTCCTCGAAAGCAACACACTGCACCAAGTTGGCCTCATGTTTTCCGCTGACTTGAGGCAGAACAACTATATTGAATCAGTAGCTGCATCTACTGCAAGGAAAGTTGGTTTATTGAAATTTGTGCCAGAAGGTTTTTGTTGTTAGAGTTCATCTTCAGAAAACGAAATCTACCATTCATCCGAATGCATTGAATACTGTGATTTTTGCTATTTATCTGAAAAGCAAATAAAAAAACAAGGATTTGCAATTTAATTAATCGGACTTGGAATCTTGACTTCACTCACTTTCTACTGTCTTAAGGAATAAATATTTTCAGACAAGGCTCTGAAAAGCATTTTTCCTGGTCCCTGAAAATGAATTTAAGCATGAAACTAGATTGGCATATAGGTCCCAGGGACCTGTTGAAATATTTAAATGTAACCACCACTTCTACCCCAACAGCTTCTTTTCTCGGACTTTTTTATTCTCTGCAACCCCTGCCATATAGTGGCACAAAAACTTGCTTGAGGAAATGCTTAATAAAAAAAAAATACTTTTAAAATTCCGCATTAATTTCAGCCTTTTAGATGATATTATTATTAAATGAAAACAATATTTATTAATCATAAATGGAAAAAGTTTAATATAAAACATCAAATAGTAATATTTTGAAAAGAATTTTTAATTTTTTTGTATTTGTATAAACGTGATAATTTTTGTAAGTATGGGTGACCATGCACAAGATTATCAGAAAATAATAATGATAACTATAGTAAATTTAAAGCCAACATTTCTACATTTTAATAGAAAATTAGATTATGGAGAATATTTTCCTAAATGTTTAAGATTACTGAGTACTTAAAAATTATATAAAAAAGGCACTTTTACAGATAAAGCCTTCGTAGAACAACATTAGACATGTTATCAGGCTGTCAAAACAGTTACTCTCAGCTTAAAAACAAAGCGAATGTTGGGTTAAATAATGCAATTCTGTGATATTTTAAACTTAAAGTAAATAATATTTGTTTCAAAACATTAATTATACTTTAAATCAGCTAATATTCCTCAAATAAAGTTTCAGAAAAGTATATTTTATTTTTTGAAGATCTTTTAATAAAGTAATTTACATTGCAATAAAAGATGACTAAAAATGGGTGCTAATCAGCTATTTTAGGAAAAGAAACAAAAAACTTCTTCCAGTCAATTTAGATTAGTTTTGAAATACAGAAAAGTATTTTGCTTATTGGAAATATTAAATTTAATCTATTAGCTTGTAATTAAAACTAAAATGGAAACTTCAGGAAAGATTTTTAGTTTTAAAAGTTCAATTTTTTGTGGAGGTCACTACTTTAATGGTTATATATTTGGTTTTTGGTGTTCATTTTAGTCATTTTTTTGTATTTCTAATCTTCAATTGAGCTCTGATGAGAGAGGATCTATAATCTGGTTTAGATGTATTTTCATTAATTGTGTTGTGTTTTGATACTACCGCTTAACAGTACTGTTATTTTTTTGTTACTTCTTTTTTTCTTTGTTTTCTTTCTTGTTTTAACATGTCCCTTTTTATTGTTTTAATTAAATCATATTGTATACATGTGTAAATATGTAGAATGAGCATTTGATGGTATTATAATTTTTTACTTATCCTTTTTGTATAGAAAGCATTTGTGACAACATTCAGTTTTAATTAGTTGTCAATCTGATCATGATTCTGGATGTAAATTGGATGGCTGGCTGATTGACATGTCTTTTAATAAAAGATTACGAATGCTTTAGTATCACTGTTCACAGTGACATGTAATCCAAGTGCTAAAAATAAATAGCTGGCATCATTTACGAAGTAACCTTAGCAAATTTATCTATAAAAGATGTTTTTATTCTGTTGGGAAGAAGTAGATGTGGGAATTAGTGATCATTTGCTCAATTTTTATCACTTTCTCTTTTTTTTTTTATTTTTATCTTCTCTCTCCTGGTCCCTGAATACTTGCAGAACCCAACCTGCCAGTCAGGATGAATATGAATTATTTCAACTTTTTGAACGCATCTTAATGGCCCTAAAAGAACAAGCATTCCCAATAACTGAAGGTGAGCTTTTAATTTAATTTGTTAAGAATGTAATATTAGATGTAATGGAAGTACTGTATTTGTCTTTGTATAATATGCATGTGGAGGCATGGTGGAGTAATGGATAGCAGCTCAGATTGAGGAATTGGAGAGCCGAGTTCAAATTCCAGTCAAATCCATTACATTCACTTATGTGCTAATACCTTTGGAAAAGGTATGAATCCTCTTCTTCTCTCCTGCCAGCTATAGTTAAAAAGCAGGACAGACTGGGTTCTATAGCCTTGGATGGCAACTGGTCTACCACAGAAAGAAATGGCAACCTGCTGTGGGAAAAAATCTGCCTCATCAGTCATGTATTGAAAGATACATGATCACCTAAGTGTGTATCATGCATGGCACATAACTAATTGATAATATGCACCCTCACATAAGATGCCCCCCTCCTATTTTACAAGGATTATTTTGTGGGAAAAAAATTTTAGCATGTTTCATCATATATTTATTGAAATATATTTTAAAGTGGTTTTGTAGGGGAAAATGTGTGATTTTGTGCATGCAAATACAATATTGTAACATCTTACTTCCCTGATAACTACAATCTTCAAAAGTATAAATGCAATGTCAATCGTTATCTTCTGTTTTCTTGAACAATGTTCATCTTTTGTCCTCCCTATTCTCAGTCTTCTCTTTCACTTTCACTTCCTGTAACCCCCTGTGTACTAGTGGTACTACCACCTTTCTTAGGATGAAATGATTAAAAAAAAAGAAAACAATGAATACTGGAATAAAGTATGGAATCATATATATTGTAACTTTAACCTTCAAACGAAACTAAACTGAATTTGCCAAAGCAGAAAACAAATAGTGGTACATTGGTGTATATGAGTACTGGTATGAAAATAATTATTTTGTTTTTGATGGTACAATAATTTGGACATAGGATTTTTGGAACACTGCCACTTTTGTTGTCATCTACTCATTGCAAATGGCTGAAAGGCTGCTGGAGTTGGTTAACATCAGATGATGTGAGCTTCCTTCTTAATGTCTGATGTACTGTAAGCAATTTGATGTAAATTTGTACCAATAGACTGATGATTTGACTTGTTTTCTATATTTTATTACTAGTAACACTTTTTTATGCCTAGCAAACTCAGACTCATCTGATATTCTAGCCTACTGGTACAGCATGTCTCCCATCCGTAAAAGACCAGGTTTTTGGTAAAAGTGTTTTATGTGAAAACAAATACAGTAACTCATACAAACTTGTTATTAATACTTTGACTGCATTTTTATGACATTGTTACCTAACTGTACTGGCCCATTTTAATTAATTGTGAATTCTTTATCTCCACTTTATTTAATCTCAATACATTGTTTTATAACTTTTGTTTCATTGCATCTCACTATTAAAACTTTCTAACTGTTATAGTGGAACACACCTATTCTATAGTTAATAGACTCTCCCACCTATAATAAGTAGGATTAGTAGGAGTCGCTCAGTGAGTTGGTCAGTCAGTCGATGTCGGACGACTGTTAGTCAGATACTAAAGTATCAGTGACCCCAATTGGATTTCTCTGCATCATTACCTATGATATCAAGTTCCTAACATTTTGTATGTCAAACCTATTTTATGACCAACTTAGTACAAATACAAGCCTCCACTGTGAAACTACTCTACAATACTAACAATTTCCATCATTTTTGATGGCATGAGTATACTAATTATCATTATTTGCAGCCAGACTAATATCTTCATCTTTGTTATAAAAGTTTTGGCTGTTGGGCTTTCCAGTTTTCATCCAGTGTCTTTTGATCCAAAAAATCTTCAAGGAATTTCAAACTGAACACTTTATTTAATCTACAGGAGTAGATTGTTCTCATTCTACTATCCATATCTTGGAATAGTACTGCTTATTTTTTGCTCTCCCTGTTTCCACTGAGCTTAATTAATCTGTTTACTTTATATTTTTTAGACATTCAATAGTATCTTTATTCATTACTCCTGGTATTATATAAATTGCTTTTTTTTCAATATTTTTCCTTGTTAAAAATTTGATGTTTAATATAACACTGAAAAAGAAATATCTCTTGGAAGAAAAAGATTAGCAACATAACAACAAAGATGGAGAAGACAAAGCCTATTTCAAGACCAAGTTGAAACAAGATGATCACAGTGCACAAAGGTACCCGAGTGCTTCACATAAAAGGTTAGAACAAATAAAACTGCAATCTCAGAAACATAAGAGTTAAGGAACTAATTAATTAAATGGTTCATTTTGCTTGGGAAGTAATTTTGTTTAAATGTAGATAAATATTTTATTTGTGTAGATTATTAAAATGACCAAGGAAAAATTTACTAACAAAGTGATTTCCCTCCCTTCCCACTACAGATGAGACAGGAAATATATAAATAAATACACATTGATAATTATCATATGGCTTGATGAGCTTAATCATAAATTACTTCTTAGAAGAGAAAGTAAGATTCAGATCAAATTCAGTGAAACATTTTCTTTATAGTACAAAATTTTATTAAGAAAAATGAATTTAGATTTTGTACAAATTTGTTCAGTCAGTTCTTTGAACCATCTTCTAGTTGTATATAAAAAAAATTTTCATTAAAACTAAAACCCAATTATTTAGAATGAACGTATTAGTTGATAGTCATAATCATACAGTATTTGTTTTGATCAGTAATTTGGGCAGGTAAATAACTGTCATATTTTTTTGCAAAATTAAGAACAATCCCAAGACCAAATTATTTCACTTGTTTTTTTTTTTAATTTACAGGATTTTGCACATATTTTACTATACTTGCATTTCGCTGCCTTCCCCAGAGGTAGGTTCATGTTTTAACTTCTTATATGAAATATATATGAGAAATCTATTGAAGTTTTGGGTAGATACACAAATTTCTTACAATATTAATATTATTACTATATCAGCTTTGCTTCTTAAAATCTAAATTCTCAAAAAATAGACTTTATTATGGTTTATTGACTAGTTCCATAGTTAAAAGTAACAGATTCATGATGTCTTAAATTATAATGAATTTATTTGTAAGGTTAATAAAGATTAACTTTTATTTGTGCAAATTGATTATTGATTTTTTATTAAATGTATTGTGCAAGATTTTTCCACTTTGAAACTAGATCTCAGGTAAATGGTTCACAATATTCAGTAATATTAAATTTTGAAACATTGTATGTAATAATGTCTTAAGTTCCTCATATTTTTTTGTTTTTTTTTGTAGCCAATTTCTTCATTATGTTGACAGTGGAGTGTTGGTTATGACAGAAGTTTTTGTAAGCCAACTATTGCAAGGTTTGTATATGTGATTTTAATGCCTCTTTATTGTATCCTTCTGAAAGAAACTTCATATCTATGGCAGGCTCACCATTGATTGGCAAGACCTGCATGAAATAGTTTACCTTTTTTTTTCACAGTGGATGAAGGAGTGGGATTGGTGGCTGGAAGAAGCACTAAATTTATAGTTGCCCTTTCTCCAGCCAGAGTTTGCAGATTTCAGTGAAGATGCTCATCTAGAAAATCTTGTTGCACCAAGAAAGCCTGTTTGCAGTTTCTGTTATCTATTTGCAGGAGTTTGTAACATAGGAAATGATTGTTCTGATGAGTGTAATATCAGTCAAAACTTACAGGATTATTTATACAAAGATTTTACAAGTAGATATAATCATTGTTTTATCAACTACACAGCTAGGAAGCTATTGTTTTATTTCACTAGTAGTATTACATTTTTAGTATGGATGTGTATTTGTGAGAGAGAGTTGTCCTTTTTTATTCTTTTTTTTTAATTGCAAAATTGTTTATAAAATAAATATATTATCATATTATCATACTTGTCATACAGAGTTGTATTTAGGAGAAAGTGAAAACTGGTTGATGGTCAAGGTGTGATTACGCACTATTGTCTAACTAATGTCCATTGCCTATAAAAATAGCTGGTGGAATGTTTAAGGAGATAGATAGAGATGTGGATAGAAGGGAGTCTACCTTCTGTGGGAATAGAATCAGATGATTCCACATTGGTGAGATAAGTTCTTTTGCTCTAGTAATCATTGACAATATTCCCAGCTGACTGTATCTAACTCACTGCAAACCTCAAACAAGATATCTTTTTCCTGGTGATATGTCCTGGAAAGGGATATATTTGATCAAAGTAACTAAGTGGTTTAGACTACTGTAACCGAGTAGAACAATCTAGCAGGTAGCAGTAATGGAACTGGTACTTGTCGCAGTCAATAGGTGTAGGCAATAGGTGTAGACCAATAGGATAGCCAATGGCATAATCCAATGGGCATCCTCCTGTACTTCTACATCAGCCTGTATTTATGGCTGACACCAGCCAATCATATTCCTGTGAGGGGGAACACAGGTGTATGCATATTCATTACATCACCTGGTAAAAACACCCTTTCACAAATTTTATCATAATAAAAAAAAAAACTATCAAGTGTTAAGCATAACTTGGGGTTGGAGTTATCTTTGTTAGAGCATGATATTTGAGGAAATTCTGTTTCAGTTAACAACCCAGGAAGTCAGAAGAATCTGAACATCTTTTTTATGGCTCTCCACAACTTTTTATCTTTGTTCTGTAATCTAGTTACACAATCTCATTAGGTAGGCTACTTGCTGCTTTCCTCTGCCCCTCTTGCCTTCAGTATGTTCTATGAGTGTTAAATTCTCCAAGCCCTCTTTCCTCATTATGTGTCCCAGAAATTTCAGCTCTCTCTTTTTGGTTCTAACTATAAGGGTCCTTTTTGTTTCTATTTTTCTTAAAACTTTCTCAATGCTCATATGTTCTTTTCATGGTATTCTCAGAATTCTTCTGTAGAGCCATATCTCTGTTGCCTCAATTCTAATCTCAATATAGTAAGGCAAAATCCATGGACACAATATATAACCTGCTAGACAATCCAACTGCTTTGTGTCCTGACAATGGAAATCTTGTTATAGTTAAGTCCCACAAGTTTACAATTGGTAGCCATGAATTGCCATCCTATATTACTATAGAATATTTTAAGACTATTACATCTAATACTACTAGAGTAATAAAACAACATCCTAGCAGTGTAGAGGATAAATAAAATATTATATCTGGTGAATTTTTTGTGGCCAAATCTGTAAAATGCTGTCACAGTAAACACAAGGAAGGGGTACAAGTTCAAATCTCACTGGAGACTTATTATTTATCCAGACCACTTAATAGTTGTAAAATAATACATCTGAAAGTTTCAAGAAGAGTGGCAAAAACAGAATGAATGATGTAATCATTAAAAATTTACTGACACAACCTGCAGTGTTTAATTATTTAATGTAAATTGGAGGTAAATGTTGGTGGTAAGGTAGTAGGAGTTAAACCAGTGGTTCTCAACCGGGGTCTACATGGACCCTAGGGGTCCATGTAATATTTCCGGGGGTCCACAGGCAAAACTCAATTGTTGTGTTAATTAAAAATAGTAATAATAATTATTATTATAATTATAGTAGAATATTTTATTTGTATTAAATTAGTTTTCATTTAAAAAATAAAGCTTAATCAGATACTATTTCTTTTGATAATTAAAACCTTAAAATTTATATTAGTGAAGAATAGAAAATTGTTCTTATGTCCAATAGCTATGAAGGGGTCCACCAAGATAAAAAGAAGGGGAAAGGGGTCCATGGGTAAAAAAAGGTTGAGATCCACTGAGTTAAACCTTCTTCCCAATAACCCATAAATTTTCTTGACTTGGTACAAATGGCAGTCTGGCAAAGTAGAGTCTTACATGAAAGGGTATACAAATCAGTCTTTCTTTCATGCATAAAAATTTCATCTATTGATATTCATCAATTCTTACTAAATATTTATGAAGACTAAATACTGGATGAGAGCACAGTTAGTGAGTAATGCATTTCAGCAGTAGAAAGAGTAATATGCATAACAAACCATGTTCTGAGTAGCCTTTCACAGGCTTTTGTTCATTGCTGGTGAAAAAGTATAATTAATGGTTGTGACTATGTGGAAAAATAGTGTTTGTAGCTGAAAAATTGTTATCCATCTGATGAAAATGCAATGTCAGTAGAGGTGGCTAAATGAAAAAATAGCGTTTGTAGTTCAAAACTTGCTATCTGTTTATCTATCTTACAAAAATGTATGGCCAGTAAAAGTGACTATGAAAAAATAGTCTTTGTAGCTGAAAACTTGCTATCTTTTTATCTATCTATCTATCTGACAAAAATGTAGAGTCAGTAGCGGTGGCTATATGAAAAAATAGTGTTTGTAGCTGAAAACTTGCTATCTGTTTATCTATCTATCTGACAAAAATGCACAGCCAGTAAAAGTGACTATATGAAAAAATAGTGTTAGTAGTTGAAAATTTGCTATCTTTTTATCTATCTATCTGTCTGACAAAAATCTATAGTCAATAGAGGTGGCTATCTGAAAAAACAGTGTTTGTACTTGAAAACTTGCTATCTGTTTATCTATCTATGAAAAATGCATAGCCAGTAAAAGTGACTATATGAAAAAATAATGTTTGCAGCTGAAAAATTGCTATCTGAATATTTATCTATCTATCTATTTGATTAAATGCATGGCCAGTAGAGAAAGATAGTGTTTTGTAGCTAAGAATATGCTCTATTGTTGCTGTGTTCTCTTGTAGTTTCTGTGGAAATAAATAGGAGGTATTACATTTGGAACATTCCTTGTAATATTTTAACAAAATATTTATATATTAATGCCATAGCTTATACTTACTGTTATTGGCTAAAAGAAAGTTTCAATCAATTTAAAACCACCAAAAGAGTAATAAAGCTGAAGATAGCAAACCAGTCTATCCTCTTATCTTCATGCCTTCTCTTTTCTTTTCTTTTTTTTCTAGCTTTTTTTACTTGCCCTCTATTTTTCCTACTTCATATGTTCTTTCAAACCTTCTCTCTTATGCTTTTCCCAATTATATTGTGTGTAAATGAATAAATAGGCAATTGTTTGTTAAAATATTTCTTCAAATACATGCCCCTTCCCACAAAAATAAATAATTTTTACATAAGTGCCTTCATTAAATAAGCACCCCTCCTATAATAAGGAAAATGTGTGTTTTTAATTTAAAATAAGCACCCCCTTCTAAATGTGCATAAGATTAACTTACATCAACTTAGATGGATGGGAAAAATTAAAAATACACTGTTTCATTTTCAGTCTGACTATTTAAAGAATAAAAGAAAATAACTGTAATATATATGGTTATCAAACAGAAATGTGGGTGATTTTTTTTTAATAAATTCCCCCTGAATAAACACCTCCCTTGAATAAGTACCCCCTCCTTTTAAAGTTCCAGTTTCTAAATAAGTGCCCCATGTTCATAATTGAGGAAAAAATGTGTATATTATATGTGTGTGTGTGTCTGTGTGTGTGTGAAACACATTATTGAGTTCGTAGATACACTGATCTGTATGTATATAGTTCCAATATTTTTAACATGCAAATTTATGTAAATTTATGTAAATTGGCCCCATTATTGTTTACAGTTATTTTTGGTTGAATTAACACAATGCATGAAGGTTAAATGTACTTTGCTGCTGGAATCTGCATTGGCATGTGATCTATGATGGTAGGGTCAGTTGGTTCAGATGGTATGATGTTGATGGACCTGAAACTATCAATGAACCTACCATTAACATTGCAGATGACACATCCCAGCACATATTTGCAATGAATATTGAAATTGTAGAATCAATAAATGTTTTTGCTTTTTTTATCAATATTTTGTGCATTCAGTAATTAAAAAGGAAATTAATTGTTTTTTGTAATCTTTTTTTGAAATGTGACAAAAAATGTTATATAAATTATTGTGACCATTTCATTGATTAACAAAATGAAGATTTTATTTACATTAGGAATCAATTGTAGTATATACTGGGATCACCTCAGATCATTTCAGAATAGACTTTGCACATAGTATTCTTCAGAAAAGCCAAATACATGATTGACCTGAGGGATGAACTTGGTGTAGAGATCTGACATGTGAAAATGTGAATGACCCAACTCTGCTTAGGATGTACACACACACACACACACACACACACACACACACACACACACACACACACACACACCCCTACTGGCTGATGGTAAATGATAAAGTCTGGAGGTGAATAAAATGTAATGTTACATATGAGAATTTAAGTCTGTACAACCAATAAGGAGGCCTGGTGGAGTAATGCATAGTGGCTCGGATTGAGGAATCAGATAGCCGAGTTTAAATTCCAGGCGAATTCATTACATTCACTTACATGCTAAAGAGGAAAGGTATGAATCCTCTTCTCCTCCCAGCTATGGGTAAATAGCAGGATAGACCAGGTTCTGTAGCCTACTGCAGAAAAAAATGGCAACCTACTGCAGGAAAAAATCTGCCTTGACAGTCATGTATCAAAAGATACATGATCACCTAAGCATGTATCATGCATGGCACATAACTGACAACCAATAAAATTACACATTATTAAATGCAGTTATATAGACTTAGCACTTAAATCATTTTCATGAACTATATAAAAGTTTAATAGTGTATTTTCAATTTTATAGTTTTATAGTGCTAATAATAATTGTCTAGGCAAAGCAGAAGTGATAGTTATATTCATTTTCATTTGTGATATGTTAAAAATATATATATATATATATATATATATATATATATATATAAATATATATACTGAGGGTAACAGCAAAATTGTCCAAATTGTATAACAGCAAAATTGTTTAATTGTTAGATTAAGCTTTGAACCGCTGTATCTTAGAAATGATTAAAGATATCTTACTGGAATTTTCCAAGGTTTTTATAACACGATTGAACCCTACATTGAACAATAAGAATGTATAATCACTTGCCAAGCTTAACAGAAGAATCATAATGAAATTGACATGTTCATCATTAATTAATTATAGCTAAGGATCAGAAGCTCATGAAGGATTGAAATAAAGTTCAAATATATATTATTTCAGGGTCATTTCTAACCTTTTCAAGATGATCTTGGCCCACTCAAATATTCTAACTTTCTGTACTTGAGTAACAAGATGCCTCACAGGTTTCACATATGATTTCATTTTCAAGTTTTTTTTTCAACGTTCTTTGGAACATAGTTGAAACTCCTCTCTCACATGCCGAACATCTTATGAATTGAGTTGAATCTTTTCTAATTGATCTCTTTAGCTCTAAGTTGAAATGATGATCCCTCTTCCTGTTGTGACCTCCTGATCCAGTTTTCCTCTCTACTGTTGACTCTTTTTTAAATTTATTCACCATTCTCTGGATGGTTCTTGAATGGATTTGAAAATGGAAGGATATATCTGTATGTATGTATGTATGTATGTATATATATATATATATATATATATATATATATATATATACACAAATGTAAAGAGAACAAAAAAAATATAAATTCAAACGTTCATAATATTAATTTAAAAGAGAGCTCAATACAAAAGGAGAGCAATAATTATTTATTATAAGTTATTACATTCAAACATTTAAGTTACCACTACAAAAATGCATATTTGTTTCAATGCCTAATTAAAACATCTCATCAGGTGGTGATGAAAGATAGTAACTATCTTTGATCACCACCTGATGAGATGTCTGAAATGGGCATCAAAACAAATATTCATTTTTGTTTGTAGTGGTAACTTGCATATTCCAATGCAACAGTTTATATATATATATATATATATATATATATATATATATATATATATATATATATATATATATATATATATGTGTGTGTGTGTGTAAGCATATATATATATATATATATATATATATATGTATATATAAATATATGTACATACACAGTCAGATATATAAACACAGATATATCTTTTATATATATGTGTGTGTGTGTGTCTGTACACACACATTCACACACATATATATATTAATGTAACTTATATTTTATATCATAAACAAACAATCTATACAAAAAATTAAATGGCAATGTTAACGTGATTTCATCATTAATCACAGTAACATTGCTATTTAATTTTGTATAAATTGTTTGTTTATGATATAATATATATATATATATATATATATATATATATATATAGTTTTTAAAAAAACTAGGTAATCCGTATGGGTAAACCTAAGGAGGATAAAATCCAGAGAGCTCAATGTAAATCCAGAGCAAATAATTTAAATAAAAACAGAAAATTTTAAACATTTTTGACGGGTTGCATTAAACATATGTAAATTTAATGAGTGAGTTAGCAGATATTGACCATTTAAATGTGTCAATTAAAACTCACCATGTCTTCTTTTCCCCTCACTTTGTTAATTTATATATGTTTAATAGGGCCCGTCAAAATGTGTAAATTTTTTCTTCATTTTTGTTTGGAAGTAAAGTCTAATGATCCGCAGTCCTTTTAAAAGGGCTGTGGTGAAATAATTTATTACATGGAACCTTAAAGTGGTCTGTTTTTATTTAAAATAATGATATATGTGTGTGTGTGTGTGTGTATACATACATGTATATATATTGTATATATATATATATATATATATATATATATATATATATATATATATATATATATATATATATATATTGTAAGAATATATCTATATTTATATATGTACATGTATTAGAATACATATAACTTAACTAGCTTGACTTTTTCAAATGCTTTTGTTCAGTGCATACAATGCTGGCTCTTGTAATTTTTTATGACTTTTAATGTATGAATGAACTTATTCCCTTTCTTTTTTTCAGCTTTTGATGGAGAAGAACATGTAAGCTTGAAATACCAGATTATCACCAGACTTCCTGAGGTAAGTCTGTTGATTTCCACTTTTTGGGGGCCTTGTATTAAAATGTCACAGGAAAAAGGTTTTTCTTTACATGCTATTTTATTTCTGTCCCATTTATCTAGAATAAGATCATGTGCAAATGTTTGTTGGACAGAAGCTGTGAAAACATTAAGTAACATTTGTCTGCTACTTAGAATTTTTCTTTTAATCCATTACAGCCAACTGAATATGAATATTTCATTCATCAAGTGCAGGAGACTTGTGTAACCTAGATTCCTTTCTTTGTGTGAATCTTTTTTTCACAACAAAACTGGAATTGCTTCTCCTTCCACCCTTTCACAATCATTATATTTCTTCACTATTATGACTTTCATACAGATGTCATGTATAACATCAAATATGTTCAGAAATATCTAAACTGTCAGCTGTATGCAGTCACTTTCTTAGATCAGTCAATATAAGTGGCTTTAAGCAACTGCAGCTAGTAAATTTGAGTGAAGACCATACTTCTCTGAAACTCATGGACCATTGCTACTGAATTACAAATAGTAATGATAATATTAACTGTTTCCTTATAAGGAAATATTTGGCATTCATTGACTGAACAGCTGGTACTACTTTCAGCTGACATTTAAAAAATCTTTCTCTTAAAAACAATTTTTCAGGAAAAAAAGGTTTCTCAAGCCCACTGTTATCTCTCCTTCCAATATTGATGGAGGTTTCCTTCCTAACCTTTTATTTGAAGTTATGTGGAATGGAAAACTAGACAAGAAAGGAATGAAAGGTGCTGAGAAACAGAAAAATTTCATTAGAAACAATGAAAAGAGTGCTGGATTACTATGTGATATTCATTTTCTTATATGACAGTGAATGTTGGACAATTTCTCCCTGGATAAGGAAAAGAAAAGAAGCAGCTGAAATGTGGTTCTACAAAAAGATACTGAAAATTTTGTGGATGTAATGAGTTAGCAATAAGGAAGTCTTAAAGAAAGTTGCAACAGAAAGAACACTTATACTCAAATTATACTCAAAATCAGAAATAGATAGATAAAATTCCTTGGACACATGATGAAGAAGAAGGGTTTGGAAAACTTAGCCCTTACCATGCATATTGACAGCAAGAGAGATAGGGAAAAACAGTGAGCCATTTGAGCTTATGTGAACAGATGACGGAATGGGGTAGGTGGCTTTAGCAAAGGAAGAAAAAAACTACTAAGAGTCACACAAGATAGAAAGTTGTGGAGAGCTATAACAACTTGTGTCCTGAAGAGACATGTTACATAGAAGAAGATTGAAGAGTCAAACTCAAATATTCAATTTTTATTAAAAATATTTTTTATCCTTCAGGTAAACAAATCTTTTGAAACTATTATAGAAATAACTATTGAACTTGCTTAATGGTTTTAGAACATAAAATTGCTTGATTATTGACAAAAAGAGAAACTATTCAAAAAAATTAATAACCAAAAATATTGCTTCTAATAAATTTAGACAATTTAAGGCTAATACATCTACTGCTACTAGGCATAATTAAACAATAAGATATGTAGTCATCAGTCAGTCAGTTATGTGCCATTGTAATACACGCTTAGGTGATCATGTATCTTTTGATACATGATGGATGAGGCAGATTTTTTCCCTGCTGTAGGTTGCCATTTATTTCTGCAGTAGACCAGTTGCCATCCAAGGCTATGGAACCCGGTCTGTCCTGCTATTTACCCATAGCTGTGTGGAGAAGAAGAGGATTCATACCTTTTCCAAGGGCATTAGCACATAAGTGAATGTAATGGATTTGACTGGAATTCGAACTTGGATCTCCGATTCCTCAGTAAAGAATTATGCGACTAAATTTGCTTGTTCCCTTTCAGAATCATTAAGATATTTTTCTTAGACATGCTTATTTTGTTCATTATTGTTATTTTTGTTCCTGTAATGTTGTTTCTTAGTCTTTCCCGCTGAGCAAGAACATATGGATTGAAATCCAATGTCAGATGGTTCCCGCAGAGTCTACAAATATAACACTGATGTCCTTCTGCATGCTGACATAGTAGATATTGTCATTGGTTAATCAAGTATTGCTGTTGCCCAATGGCTGTGAGTTCAATCCCTGGATAAGGTAGAGAAATCAACATACAGGGATTCTTAATTTACAACAAAGTTTCATTCCTATAATGTGTCATAATGCAATTTCCCATGTAAATCAGAATGTGCTTGTGATTTCTAGTGAATAAATACACTCACAAACAATCCAACATGGCGTATAACCAGTAACTGCCCCATGCTGTCTTCCTCACTCTAACACTGTATGACAACATATTCTTCCACTGCACTCATATGTACAAGGCGAATGAGATTAATAGAGATTGTGTTGTAAACCACCAATTGTTGTAGGTTGGGACTGTCATAATCTGGAGATTTATTAGACTCAGGTTCATCAGAAATAAACAAGAAACAGCACATATTTATCAGTCAAAATTATATACACCTGAAGATGGTCAGAGGGTGCATGGTTGAAACATTGTTTATAATAATACCTATAACAAAGATAAGAAGAATAGTTTGTATAAACTGAATGTCAAAGTATATTTCAGATCTAATTGCATTTCCTTTTTATTTAAAACTGTCTGAACAAGGTGTTTCTGTATTTTTTATAATACAGAAATTTTTTATAAGAATACATTTCTGTTTCAGTGTCAGGAAGTTAACTTTGATGAGAAGGGGAGATAATTAATACATTGCTTGTTTTGCCATTTTATTTAACAAATCTCAAGTTAAAAATAAAGTATTAGACTTCATCTGACCTGAGGTGAAATAATTGTTCCTGGCTTATCCAAGGAAAATAATTTGAATGGGATTATTAAAATTCCACTTTGTAGCACCATTAAGGATTGTTATCTTCTGTCTTTCTTTTTTTTTAATTGATCTCACCCCACTCAAGGCAGTAAAGTCACTAGGACTGAAGGGGTTACTAGGTGTGGAGGAATTAGAAAACAGAAACTTTTCTAAGGAGCAAGAACAAAAGAAGAGTAATCAGGAGAACAGTAGAAAACTATTGACATTGCATTTAAATTTTTACAGATTAATATTGGTTGGAAAGCATGGAGCCTAAAGAGAGTTCGATAATTGAGAAGTGTGAGACAAGAAACTGTTAGCATAGAATTTATGGTTACATCTCACCAGCTCAACTGTATATTGGTGAGACCTAGTCATCAGTCTAGTACTGCACTTAAATTCATGAAGTTTAGGTATCTTGGCAAAGAGCGATATTTAATTGTATAAAAATACAAAATGTGGAAAGAGGTTGGTTTTCTTCTGTCTTATAATTGAACTTAACTAGTCAAAATCACTGACCCAAACATACTACAATATTCCTTACACCAAAACAACGCATTCTTACCATTCTTACTACATCCACCATAAAACCACAGAATCTCCATGAAAGTCATAGCTAGTCCCCATATATAGAATTCTTGTCTGTAGAGGCAGTGGAATATAATAACAATAATAATAATAGCAAAGAGCTCACCCGAACATTTGCCATAGAAGTATTTATAGAAAAAATACAGGGAGGCAACTTTACAGTGGTGGGAAAGTGATGGAAGCCGAGACACCAAATCAGGACCAACTCCTACCATAACAAAACCTTTAGTGAACTCATTTCACAAACTTGTCTGGAGCATGTTCATTTCTTACTGGATATCCTATTCTATATATATCTTGCACATTTTTTTAATCAAATTCATCCCAAGTTAGGCAGGAAAGCCACTAAGACACAGGGGGTTAATGGATGTAGAAGAATTAGAAAACAGAAACTTTTCTAAGGAGAAAGAAGAAAAGAAGAGTAATCAGGAGAACAGTAGACAACTATTGACATTGCATTTAAATTTTTGCAGATTAAAGTTGGCTGGAAAGCATGGAGACAGAAGAGAGTTCCACAAGTGGGAAGTGGGAAACAAGAAACTGTTAGCATAGAACTTATAGCTACATCTAGCCAGCTCAACTGTAAATTGGTGAGACCTTGTCACCAGTCTAGTACTGCACTTTAATTCATGAAGTCTCAATGCCATGGTGAAGAGTTCATCTGAACAGCTGCCATGAAAGTATTTATAGAAAAGGCACAAGGAGGCATCTTTACAGCAGTAGGAAAGTGACTGAAGCTGAAATGCCAGATTAGGACCAATAATATTGTTGATTCTTTTTTGGATCCTATCAAAGATCTGTGCAAAAAAAAAATGAAATTGGAAAGCCAAACTCAAATTCTGCATTCACTTTATGTTAATGCCCTTGGGAAAGGCATAAATCCATCTCTTCTGTGCATAATTATGGGAAATTAATACAGTAAACAGTGTCCTCTAGTCTTGGTAGGGCAATCAGTGTAGGAATAGGACAATACTAAATTTAAAAAGAGAAGACAAAAGGCAACAAATCCACTACTCTTCTCATGAATGGTCATGGTGATTTATAATTTACAGATATTCAAGAAAGGGAAATTATGGAGAACTATAAATGTTTACAACATGAAAAAAAACACTATTATAGATATTGAATTATTTTAGTCACTAATTATTTTAACACTTTATTGCTGCAATGTCCCCAACTTTGAGCCCCCCTAGCTGCTGTTCCCACATTGTCAAAGTAATTTGTTACAATAACCTTTATCTTTTTTACATTTATATTGACTTTGTTAAATATCAAATAAAAAATTTGCATAATTCTTTCTGAAATGTGTTCTATACTTCTTGCTTTAGTTTCTTACCATGGATTATTTGCATTCAGACTAATGTCTTCATTTTTGTTGTTATTATCACAATGTTTCAGCTGTCATACTCTCCAGTCTTCTTCTGTGTCTGTCTATCTAGGTGGCCTTCAAGGAATTTCAAATTTTGTTTTGGAGGCATTAAAATTAACAAGCCATTCCTTGCCCCAAATAGCAATAGACTGTAGGTCATTTTTTAAAATCAGTTGCCAATTTGACCATTTCGAACCCATCAGACTTACCATTAAGACAGGAGTAAATAGTTGTCATCAGTATACATACTGAGTTGAGAGCTGATGACATCAGGAAGGTCAATGATGAAAATTAGGAACAATGTAGGTCTAAGGATAGAGCCCTGGGGGTCACCTGCATTAATGCAAAAAGATGTAGAAGAGTAGCCATTCAAATGACTTTCATTTCAAGATTTGATGAAGAAGATTAAATCAGTTCAAAAATATGTCCAGAAAAACCATAACCTTTCAACTTGTGAAGATCAACCAACCTTGTGAAATGCTTTCGACATACCCAAAGTAACAGCCCTTCACCATTCTTATCTAAAGCTTGATAGACTCTTTCAGCAATAATCATTAATACATCAGCAGTTGGCCTAGAGAAGCAAAAGCCATATTGTTTATCTGAAAAAAAAATCCTGCAAGGTGAAATACTTAACCAATTCAGAGTTAATTAGAGCCTATAGTACTTTCCTGAAAAGAGGTAGAAGGTTAATAGGCTGATAATTAGAAGGATCAGCCGGTTTGTCTGAGTTCTTATAGATGGCTACTATAAAAGAGGATTTCCAACAGGCAGGAAAGCAAGAAGCAGCAATGAGTTTAATGTAGAGTTTAGAGAAAACAAGAATCAGTTCAGGAGCACATTTCTTAAGGAGTATTGCAGAGATATCATCAAGTCCACATGCTTTGTGAGGATCCAGTTTATAGATGATAGCAGAATTCATGGATAGAATTATATTCATATCACTCAACAGAGACTTTGCTTTAAGTGGAAAGCCAGTCAAAGAGTAGAATTTGAAGAAAATTTATGAGCAAGACATTTTGTTTCATCAGTAGATGTTAACACCTCAAATTGAGTGAAGAGAGGAGGAATAGAAGACTCACTCTTATTTAACACACTATTACAGAGCCATCAGTGGTCATGAGAACCAAACTTGTTAGAGTTTTTATGGTGCCTCATTCTATCAGCAGACAAAACTTAACCTCTTTGATGTCATGTTTACAATTATTATAAGCATCTGTTGTGATCAGAACTATCATGCTGGTACACCCAGAAAAAGTGATTCCTCTGGCAGCCAAACAGGCTGGTGTGAACAAAGATGAAGATTGTGGTTTCATTTGTTATTTACAAGAAAGTACAGAAGCCTCAATGTTGGCTTTAACCCAAGAAGAAACATCTCTGGTGCAATTCTCAATTGAAATGGTAAGAATATCAATACAAAAGGAGTCTTGAATAAAGTCACAAAATGACTCCCAATCAGTATATTGGTAACAGAAAAAAGTGTTGTAAATAGGAGGTTCATTTCTAACAGACACCCCAAAAGAAATATCAACAGATACTACAACATGATTTGAATTGCTAAGAGGACAAAGTTGTGATGCTCAACAAGAGCTAGGAGAGGAGGTAAGGAACAAATCAAGTAAAGAAGAATATTGATCAGATTTATTAGGGAAATGAGTAGGGAAATGCACTATTTGACTGAGAGACTGAGCAACAGAAAAATTGAAAGTCTGAATACCATCAGTAAGCCACTTGATGTGATGTGCATTAAAATCCCTAAACATGAAAATGTTCACAGATATGACCACCATTGATAAGAGCCATTTCTATATTATCAGAAATTTTGTTTAATATATTACAGTCCTGAGAAGTGGGAGAGCAATAAAGGGGGAAAAAAGTGATAGTTAACAGAGTGCAATAACAAAAGAGTTTGAGTTCTTTACTACCAGTTGATAGTAGCAACCAGAAAACTGCCAATCTGGTACTCTCATCATGAAAAGTCACAGCTACTAATCAGTTAGATCACCAAAATGTTTAGACAACTAAATCATTATGGCCAGAGAAGAAAGAATCAATAAATCATATCCTAAACGGGAATCAAGGGATAAACTTCTATTCCTGTTCAATAAACATGGTAATAGTACAGGACGGGTGATAGTCAAACCTATCTATTCCTATTAACCTGTTTACAGGAACCTAGGGGTTTTATCGAGACACTATCTTGAGGAAGGTTACAGAATAAGGCTCTAGACTCCTTCCAGGCCAAGGAGGAGTTACTAAATTATTAAAACCTCTCTTAAAGTTGTCCCAAGAGTTGAAAACAAAATAATATTAACAAAAATTAGATCACTCAATCTAGTTAAAACTAATAATTATTTAAAATTTAAATACACACACACACATTTTACATTGGAATAAAGAATTTGTTGTCAAAGGGATCACTTATTCTTACTATTATCATTAGTAATAATGTTATCCATTATACCACCCACACATCCATGTTTATAGCATCTGATATTCATAAGCAATCACCCTCATGATACTGACCAGGCTCAATGTTGCTTAACTTCAGTGATCGTATGAGAACTGGTATTTCAGTGTGGCATGACCATAAGCCAGTAAGGTCTGTCAAGAACAAAATCATAATTACTTTTAAATATGCAAATTTTACTGACCCATTGATATCAATGATATTTTGCAAGATATGAAAAATACACCAGAGGCTATTAGAGTTTAAAATGAATTAAAGCTAACAGTTATGTGATTAACATTAAGTCTTTCAAAACTTGAGTTCAATATGTTTACATGAGAAGTTTGTTACCTCTGTCTGAATTTCTGGGGTGAGGAGTCATCAATATTTACACTGTTTACACTTGGACTATTGTCCTCATCTTTCTTGTTATCATTCTCTAGCCTTGTTCAGGTGCTTGTTGATCTTGGTAACCTTCAGGGAATTTCAAACTGAACACTTTATTAAATAAATTATTTAATAATAAATATTTAATGCGATAAATTATTATAAATTATTTATTTAATATGAGATAAATTATTCTCATTCCACTGTACATGCCTAGAGATATCTACTCTTATTAAGGACTGCTCAGTTATTGTTGGCCTTTTTCCACTGAGTCTGCACAAGCTGGCCTTGGGATTGAACTCACAATTACTATGTCACTAAATTCACCAACACATAGGACAATCCTGAGTGTAGAAATTGGATCCTCAAACCTAATCTGTCTGCTGATGACAATGCTTGCCATGCTTGACTGCCACTATTGATTCTTGTCACACCTGACTGCATTCACCAAAGCCTCTCTTTTCTTACTGATGTTGTTGCTGTTAAAGCCTTGTTCTATTGTATTATTTAGAAACTTGTATTTTCCCTTACTAAGAATGCAAATGCAAATTTTGGTCAAAATATAAATGCTTTTTTCATATACATTTTTAATTTATAAGTAAAAAAAAAAATTATAATAGACATCATGCAGTGAAGCACTGATTAATAAGCAAGCCTCTCATTTTTAAAGTGAGTTCAGTTCTCCTTGGATGCTCTGCAGTTATGGCCTTATGTCAGACTAGGCTAAATTTATTTTAATAGAAAATCCTTATGAAAATTATTTAAAATAAAATTATTGTTTAAATGCAATGAAATAATGATAAAGTCTATGGAAACCACAATATACGTCTATCTTTTTTATGTAACATGTCCTTTCAGGATGTAAGCAATCATGGCTCTCCATGACTTTCTGTTTTTGTTGCTGCAAGTAAATTTTGACTCTTTACCCTTACTCTTGGTCCTTTTCCTGCCATCCATTCACTAAAACACATTCAGTAGATTATTCAGTTTCCCCTGAGTTTTTATATATCCTAGAAAATTTTTACCATTTCTTTCTGATTGTAAGTATACATTTCCTTGTAGTTCCTGTTCTTCTTAAGGCTCTGTCACTGATCATATATTCTTTCCATGATATTCTTTTGATTATTATTTGTTGGTAAAATCACATCTCCATCATATCAAGTCTCTTCTTCATCTGTGAGGAAATCGTACAACATTCACTGCCATTTAGAAGGATAGACACTACATAGCAGTTCAGCATTGCTTTCTTTGTTTCGAATGATATTTTCCTATCTCTTAATACTTTGTTTCTAGAAGGCATCTTTTGCTATTTCTATGCCCCACTGGATTTTGTCTGTCTCTTTGATCATAAATATTGGTCTCCATATTGGGCTTACAGCCATACCATGGAAACACTGGTTCTTGTATAAACACTGAAGTTAAGCAATGTTGCATCTGGTTGGTACCTAGATGGGTGACTGCTCGGGAATACACGGTGCTGTAAGCTTGGATATGCAGGTAGTATAATAGATAAAGTCTAGAAGTGAGAAATCAGAGAACTGTGTTTCAATTCCAATCAGGTTCATTATATTCACTTATGTGCAAATACCCTTAGGAAAAGTATGAATCCACCTCTTCTCCCCCTAGCTATGAGTTAATTTGTAACACTTGTATCAATAAAATCATTATCGTCCTCCAAAAATTTACTAGATCTCATTATTTTACTGTCTAAAAATATTTTCTGGCTTTAAATAACCTGCAAAAGGTGGATAAGCCATAAAAAACAAATCAATCAATCAAAAAACCTTGTTTATATTTTCCTTGAAAATTCTTCTTTATGCAAATGTTCTGTCCATGATATTTTCAGCATTCATTGGTAGAAGTCATCTCTTTTACTTTAAGATAAAGTTTTAATTATATTTGCTCTGACAAATCCTTCAAGTGACATAAAAATATATGAAAACTGCTTTAGTTTTTTCCCCCATTTCAATACAAAATACAAATTAATAAAATGTGGCTTTAGCATGAGCTGTGGTGGAACACGAGAAGTAAAATTCTTTTGTAAATTCTTTCTTGAATACTCATTGCAATTTTAAACAAAAGCCTGTCTCCCAATGTGATGATTAGTATTAACCTATTAATGTTCACAATCTCATTTTTGGAGATAGTGAATATTAATAAGTTGTGGGTAGAAACTTATAATTAATACCAGAATTTTTTTTATAAACTTATAATTAATAGTGTATTTTTCATTTGGATTTTATAATTAATACCAGATTTTACAGTGTGTTGTTTTAATAGATTAAATAAATGATTTATAGCATCATGTGATACTTGTATAAATTGTTTGATTCAGTATTCTCTCTGTGTCTTTTCTATAAATATTTTCATGGCAATTGTTCAAATGAGTTCTCCTCCTTGGTACCTAGACCACATACTACTAGATTAGCAACCAGATATCATTTTACTGTTGAATATCGACTTGCTTGGGATGAAATGATTAAAAAACAAAAATTAAAACATAAAAAAATAAATAGAAAGAAAAAAAAAAGTCACCAGACTCTTAACTTTGGAGAACATTAAGAAAAAAAACTATTTCCAACTAAAATATTCTGTTACATTGTTGCTTTACTCTCTGCTTGATTCTTAAATATTTACATTTTGCAATGTTTGCCTAATTTTTGTGCAATAATTTGAACCCAAGTTGTTTAATTTTTTTATACTTGGGTCTAATAAATAGAAAAGAACGACATTACAATGTAACTAAACTTGTAGAATTGGTAGAAATCTTGACTACAGTATATAATAATATATTTAGGAACTCATGGTTTAATTTTACATTATTCTGTTTATTTTTTAATTTAAGTCACACTGTCATAAATAGTGGAGGTGAATAAGATTTAGTCAAATTTGAGTACAGTTGGTTATAAACAGAAAATCATAACATAAAATGTGGACATAAAATGTGACACCGAAATCTGCAGGTGCATTGGAATAGCAAAAGATGCCTTCCAAAAGCTAAACAAAAATACAGGAAAATTACAAAAGAAACAAAGAAAAGGGTACTGAATTGTTATATAATACCATTACTCTTATATGGTAATGAATGATGGGCAACCTCCTTACAGATGAAGAAGAGATGAGAAATAGCAAAAAGACAAACCTTACTAAGAGCCACAAAAGAAAAGAAGTTGTGGAGAACCATGATCATCCACATCCTGAAGGGGCATGGTACATAGAAGATGAACAAGATAGATAACATTTTTCAGTATAGATAAACTATTTTTGATACCACAGAAAATAAAATTAAGATAGAAATATAAATTAGAAAATTAAACCTCCCTCCCCACAACACACACATTTTAGATCTGTTTTGCAATGATACTCATGAACTTTTACTTGGATTTTATAAGCAAACAGAATATCTTAATTAAAGTGACTGATTCTTATATTGTTCAAATTTTCTGACTTTGCAAAGAGCATGACTATATTAACAATAAAAGATTGTTCACCTACTGTGTCAAATAGTTCCCTTCACAAATCAATGTGGTTGTATGAATATTTATTTTATTTATGTTTAACGTTGTTATTTTTATAGATACAAGTATTTAAGCAAATGCTCTGTTTATGATAAACAGTATTAAATAACATTTACCGCCTGAATGTAGAAATTTTCATAGAAAATATTCGTTCATAGACAGGATTGAACCTGCATCCTATTTATATATCATGGCCTTGTTTTTGACCACTTCGGCCACCATGAACCTTATGGTAGACAAGGTGAATTTACTGAAATCTTCCATGAATCTCGCACATTCATAACTTTGTAAACAAATGATCATATGTTAAGAAAACAGTCCGACAATTTATTTATATTTTATATCATGCCTTGTTTTGAAACATGTTCTTGGTTTGGATAAGATGAGAGTTCTGAAATTGAGTTTGTAACATCAGGAAACAGACCAAATAAATTTGATCCTCCTAGCATTGATGTCAGTTTCAATTAATAAAAAGTGGAAGTGAGTTGATTTGCTATATAATCAATATTGTTCCCAATTTAGCTGCTGTCTAAATTTCTCCATTTTCTCAATTGTTGTTTAAAAGAAATTAAATTGCATCATGTGACCTTTCAATGTCAAAATATGGAACTAACAATAAAAGATCTATATCTCAGTTCCCAGAGTGTTTTATAATTTCAATTCTTTTATTTAAGAAAATTTAAATAACAAAAATTTCAACAGAACTTCTTTTGTGTCATGTCCCGTCAGTATGTGGAGGTTCATGGTTCTCCTCAGCTTCCCATTCCTTATAACTCTAAGCAATATTTGACTCTTTACCATTGCTCATACACAATCATTAGGCATTTTAATTGCTGTTTTTCTCAGCCATTATTGCCTTCCTTATGTTCTATGAGTGTTAAACTTTCCCAGCCTTCTTTCCTTATAACCTGTTATAGAAATTTGTTTTCATTTTTTTAAGACTTCCTTGTTGCTAACATGTTCATTCCATGACATTCTCAGCATTTTTCTGTAGAATTACATCTCTATCACTTCAAGCCTCCTCTTCATCTGTAGGGAAAATGTGCAGCATTTACTGCCATATACAAGAATAGATATAACATAACACTTAAACACTCTTTACTTTGTTTTTTAACTAAATTTTCCTATCATTATTTGCCTGATTCCTGAAAGACATCTGTTGCTTTCCTAAGATGTCTTTGGATTTCCATGTCACATTTTTTGTTGTCTGTTACGGCACTACACATGCTTGATTTTTATGTCTCCAATTCATAGCTTCCATCTTAGGCTGTCTCATCTGCTGACAATCAAACATTCTGGCTTCAAGGTTAGTCTTTTCTTCTTGCTTTCCTTTACTAGCTTGCCTAGAAGTTCTGAAAGTTTTTCTTCTGAATCCAGCTTCAACACAGTATCATCTTTGTATCTTATGTTATTAAGAATATGGCCACCCTTGATAAATCCTGGTAAGACTTCTGTTAGGATCATCTTCTTGTACAGATGAAATAAATCCATTGAGAAAATTCATCCTTGTCTCTACCTCACTTTTTCTATTTTTGTATATTTACATAACTTATTTTATATCCAAATGCAAGCAGTTTGTTTCCTGTAAATGTTCCAGTTTAGGATTAGGTTTCTGACTCCTAAATTCTACTTCTAATGTCTCCACCTGAACTCTGAAATTTTATTTGCTAATTATTATTTTTTTCTCCTTAATAGGAATAGATAGGTTTTGCTGTCACTGTGTTCACACTCCTCCCTGGTCTTTTGAATAGGAGTAGAGGTTTATCCCTTGGTTTCTGTTTTGGATTGGGCTTCCTGTTCCTTCTAAATTCTATTCCAATTCTATACTTCTAACATTTTTATCTGAACTCTGAAACTTTTTATTTACTAATTATTTAATTTTTTCCCCTCCCCAATGGGGATAGATTCACCTATCATCCAGTTCATGCTCATCCCTGGCCTTTTGAACAGGGGTAGAGGTTAATTCTTTGTTTCCTGTTTTGGATTGAGTTTCTGGTTCCTTCTAAAGTCTTTTTCATTCTGTTTCACTCCCAGTAGCCTTTTGCATCTTGGTAACATTATCACCTTGTTTGGGGTGAATTGATTAGAAAAGTTTGTGATTATTCTAATATTTTTCCTATATAAGTTGAGTTTTCCTAACTTATATTTTTTGTGTTATACCTTATCAAATGTTTTTATGTAATATAAAACATAGGTATAGTTCTTTATGCATTTTTATTGCTCCCTTTAATAACATTCTGATCATGAAGACAACATTTCTTTTTCCAGAACTAATATAAATACAATGAGAAATCCAAAGCTTAAATTGATAAAATGTTGTAGTTATAATCTTCAAAAGAATGAATGTGTTCCAAAGGTAATTTTTTTTATCATTCATATTAAGTCAGTATGCAAAAGAAGATAGTGTTAATATAAATGCATTTATTTACATGACTAGAGTCTGTTGAAATTGTCTGTTATCCTAAAAACCTAGAGTTCATGCTGTCATTTATTTACATTAGGACTTTATTATCTGGGGAAGATATGTTCCAAACCACACCCTGCAGATGGAGAAATCCAGTGGTAGTGGTGAATCATATATACTACGTCTGTGAAAAATATAAAAATAAAATATGGATAGGTCATCCAAATGAAATTTGTGTTGCATATTAAAAAAATATAATCTTAATTTGGTTATTCAACTTAAAATGTGGTAGAAGATAGAGGAACAAAACAGTATATATGTTATTGAGTAAAGTCAAATAATTAGTAAAGTAAATTCATTTTGTTTTTAATTTTTTTCTTTTTTATATGCCATGTCCTTTCAGGACGTAGGCGAGCATGGCTCTCCACCTCCTTCTATCCCTTGCAGTTCTCAGCAAGTTCTTTCCCTCTGCTTCTTCCCCCAGACCATGTTCTGTCATTCACCTGCTCAAGCTCGTCAGGTATATTATGTATTGCTTTCCCTTGTCTCTCTTTCCCTCTAT